AGCGTAGTGCCACAACCGCCTTGAACTCATTTCCACAAAATATTCACAGGAAAAAAAATAAAAATGCTAATACTGACGAGTCGTCTTTTCACTGTACGTTTAATTCTGAATGCTATGGTTAACCAAAAGTGTCTTTTAATTCTCTATTTTGCCATCAGTATCCTAAAACTGCTACTTTCTTAAAAAAAGTAGTTTAGCAGTACATGATACTGACGACTTCAGGTGACCTATACAACAGGACCAGGTGAGATTTTTATCTACCATAAAATACTGCCCACCTAGTAGATTTCCATATTTTGTGAAGATAATTCAAGTGTATATTGAAATCTGGTTGCACTAATTGACAGAGCAAATTACTTTTGGAACCATATTTCCAAAGGGCCTCTGAATTTATTCCTTCAATTTTACATGCATGGGCTTCCATACCTTTGTGAATTTAACGTTTGTGTACATCACTCTGACATTTCCCAGCATTTGAAGAACAATTTCGAAGACTATTTTTGCACATCTGGTATTAGGACATTTTAGTAGAACAGATTTTAAAAACTCATTTACATTCTGCACATTGAGCCATCTCGGTATCTTTATCCCACTTTCAAGTACTTTAATCAAAATTTTAACATGGAATTTTCTTAGAAAAGAGGCTGAATTCCAGACATAAAACTGAAAAAGAAGAAAAAAAAAATCTGCCTCATTTTCTATGCTTACTTTCTGTTCTTCAGAGGAGAAGCTTGAGAAGCTTTTGACTGTAAACCTAAATATCACCAAGCTCTTTAGTAAAATCTGTCTGACATACCAGGTTCTGAAATCACGGTACCCAAAAAACCCGCAGACAATTGATTAATAATGAGGTCAGAAATACAAATAAATTTACTTCTAATGAAGACTGGAGACACAGTAATCAAAGTGTTAAAAATTCATTTCATGCACATCTCATTTGCCTCTTAGCTGATATTTATCACATAATTCTGTGAGAAAGTAGAGGCCTGAGATGCTCCAGATAAATGTCTCAATTAATTGTACAGAGGTAGCCCTCTTTGAGCTGAACCAGAGCTGTGAGCTCTTTATTAAAAGCACTATTCTGTAGCCTGTAACCTTGTTCCTTGACTCCTCTCTAGTTTCCAATTTAAACAAGTCCCCATGCGGCCCGCTCTAAAGGGCTTTGTCTCCCTGTCATTGTTAAGAGAGCCGAGGCATCCTGGAAGTGTGAAATCAGACCTCATGAGCTGAACGGTTCCCCAGGGAACGCCGGACCGCGCAGAAGGTCAAAGTCATGGGCTGGACCATCTGAAAGCGTCTGATCGCCGGTCTGTGACACAGCGAGTGGGGTGGGGGCAGGGGGAGAGGGGAGCCAGGGGGCTAGAATTGAACACGTCTTAATTAAAGCCCAAAGACAGCAAAACAAACTGTTTTCTAGGCAGGCCGTCACACGGAGCTTGGATTTTGCTCTGCTAATGAATCTGAGTTGCTAACTATTATTCCTTAAAATAATAGGACTTACGCTGAAGTTGACCAAACCTGTGGCACATCTTTTCCCACCCTACTTGCCTCTCGTCAATAACAAGGCAGGGGTTTGGGGTTTTGTTTCCTGGTAGGAGGAAAAGTATGAATGTGTCGGCCCCAGTGAAGGAGAGGCAAGCACTGCCAGCAAGCCAGCAGCCTTCCACCAAACCCACCTACACCTACGCTTCGCCGCAGACGGAGTACGCTTGCCTGTTGCCTAACCTGGCACTACGAAGGGTCCACTGCTTTCCAAAACTCATATGGGTTCGGTGAACAGAATACGTATTCATGTCAGAGGCCACCCGGCACGATAAGTCCAACACGCTTTGCGTTTTACCGCACCACCAGAGTATTTCTTGGTGTAAAAGGACGTGACTGTAGGCACAAACGCTGCTCCGCCTGGGCGCCGCAGGCAGCCGAAGCCTGGAGAAGGTCTGCCTGTCTTCCAGAGGAACCACGAGCCAGGAAAGATGGGGGGGGAAAGGGGGAAATATAACTACTTTTAGCTGAAGACTTAGGGAGAAAACAGCCTTGCGCTGAAGAGCTAAAACAAAATGGAAGATTTAAATGAGAGTTTCTTCCTAGGAAGGGGAGGAAAACATAAAGACCACACTCAACGTCTTTCCATTTGTTAGATTATAGTTTCAAAAAAACATATTAAAAAATGCGTATTTTCCAGGAAGGGGCATTGGCTGTAACCACAGTTTCCAAAGGAACATGATTTTGCATTGGTGGAAGCCCTAAAATTGTGTTTTGACCACGTAAAGATGCTGTTTTTCTGGGGGAAACGTCCCCATAGTCCTGGCAATTCTTTCAAAGGCCCCGGCCCTGGAAGATGCCCTATTTTTCAGCTCTCCTCAAAATCAAGGTGAGCTTCCAAGCCCTGGCAGGCAATCTCCCAACCCCTCAGCAGCCCTCCCTTTCCTTGACTTCCTTGCAGGCGGGCTGAGCATGGAGAAGTCTCACTTTGTCCTTTTCTGGGGTATTTTTAAAACCCAGCTATGGCACATTCGAGCAGCGCCCCATTTTCAAGCTGGTAGTGACCCACTTGCTCCCCTGCCCACAACGTCACCGAAATTTCAGCCCACCCTGGCATCTTGTTCAATGCATGTGTATGGGGGGTGGTGGTGGTGTTGTAAACTGAGGCCTGAACCACCACCCTTAATCTCTCTTCTTTCAAAAAAAAAAAAAAAAAAATCTGTATTAGCCTTGATGATTTGCCCAACACTGGGCTATTGAGACTGGAGGAAAAACTGCCCTCGACTATCAACAGTTTATTAGGGGCTTAACTGAAGTGACCTACTGTAGCAGCATTCAGCTGAACAAGGCTGTGGGCTTTCTGTGGAAAGGAGAAGAATTGAGGGTTTCATTAAAAAGTAATTTGTGCTTTTTACGCATTCATTCAATGGGAGTCTCAATTGCTCTTTATTCACACAGAGTTAATACAGTATTACAATGCTGCTCAATGAATGTATGGTAATAAAAGAAAAATTTCACATTTTGAAAGGAAAAAAAAATCTTCACAACTGTAGTAAGATTGATGACTACTTAAAAGATTACAGAAATCTTTTTCCGTCTATGCTTATGTTTAATGATGGAATATTAAGGATTTTTAAAATCCATTCAGCCCAAACTAATAAATTTTGATTTATTACTTCACATGAACAGATTCCGGAGAGTGAAATGGGATATGTTCGGCAGACGGGAAACAGAGCGAATCGCACAGGTACTATGCAGGTGTCCCAGCTACTGCTCAGGCTCAGGGGAGGGCAAAAGATTAACTCTGAAAAAAACAGTGTAGTAAGAAGATCAAACTGGTCCTTGGCTCTTGCTCACACAAGCAATCCTTAGTCACGTAAGCTACACCACCGATGACAGCGCTCCCCACGATGAACAATAAGTACTGCTCAGTTGAATAAAGGCGGAGGGTCAAGTTTTGTACAATTTTGGCAAACATGACTCATTGACAAACACCAAATAACTACTTTGAGTTATTTCTTAATGTTACTATTCAAAGTTTAATCTGTAGTGATGATCTGTACACACCCACAAGTTACTAAAAATAGCTATAAATTACTGCGGCAGTTAATAAACCCCCTTTGTCCTCTTCTCAAAATACCGGGTATTTTTGTCCAAAATATACACTGATTTCTGTAGTGTCCGGAACGCACCGCCACCTTACAAAACGTATCTGCCATATAAATGTTTTTTCTTGCTAATGAACAAAATAGGCGGGACTGGGGAAGGTACTGAGTGTTCTTCCCCGACCCCCTGACCGTCATTCTAAATGCAATGTCTGAAAATTTTTGGTAGCTCTGTACATCTTTAATTGAATCAAATGTATTTCCAAAAAATTTGTTCAACCAGCACAAATGACATGTTGATCTGGAAAAGTCGAAGACTGAACGAGGTCAGGGACTGAATTATCCCATTTGCCCCTGAATAACTTAATCTCTCTCTCTGTTCAGACCACATTGGATTATAAGGTCAAAGCAGAATGAGGAATCTTTAGAAGCATTTCTCCAACCTCCCTGAAAATAGAATCTGTTATTTTCTGTGCCACAAACTGGATGATCAGTTTCAGCAATAAAATGTTTGCTCTGTTACCTTGTCTGAGAAAAAAAAAATTAGCACTCATGCTAATTTACAAAAAACTATTAAAAAGTGAGTATGTTGCTATACATCTACATCTGCTCCTATAATGGAACATTTATGTCCAAATTGCTGTTAAACCAGCGCAGCTAGTATAGTTTCCCTTCTTTTCTTTTTTTTTTTTTCTTTAAAGCAGAGATGGCTATTTTCTGTCACAGAGGCAGCTCATTTTGCTCCATTCAACCCATGCAGCGTGAAAGTGATTGTACTTACAGGAGATAACTTGGGCATTTCTGGAGAAATATGGTCTGTATGGCTGAAATACTTTTTCTTTATTTTGAAAAGCAAAAGGTTAAATTATCCATTCGGCTTATATCACATAAAACAGAAAATTTTTTAAAGAAAATATTTTCTTATTTCCTTATTAAACAGATAAGCAATAGTTACAGGAAACTGGATTTATTTGGAATGTGTGAAACCAACGGCAGCCTTGCTAAATATCTGGCAGGTATCAAGCAGCTCTTTTGCCAACAACTTTAAAGTAGTATCTAAGTCTAGCACGTTTCACTTGCCGTGTCCTCTGGAATTCAGCTTTAATTTTGATAATTTAATATATTTTTATCTGCTAGAAAAAGAAGTATTTTCTACGTATTTTTTTCAGGACCTCTGATGCAGAAAAATGTGTATTTCCCCCTCTGAGAAATAAACTGTGCCGGGCTCTCCTACCGTTAGAAAAGTTTTGTTTGTTTGTCTGTGGATTTTTTCCCTAATGATCAGAAGGTGACACTGCACAAACGGGCAACAATCTTGAGACAAAATTCTGTTTTAAGCATTTTTTTTTTTCACGTCTAAAAAGCCCCAGTCTTACTACGGCATTTACTGTCACAAACTAAAAGAATCCTTGCCTGTGACATCAGCTGCCATCAATGCTTCTGCCCTGATGACCTTCACCTGAAGAAATCCCACATCCTTCATGTTATGGAACATCGTCATTGGGCTCTAAAAAATAATAAAAAGAAAATAATTCTGGATTGCAAAAAAGACAAACCAAAAGCAGTATTAAGCCTCCTCCCTAGTCCAGATATGTGAGTGTAATTCTGCCTAACAGGCTCATACTGTTAAATGTTATTTTCTGAAGAATGTGCAGTTGTCAGTGCTTCTTTCAGTATTTTGCAACTTTAACTTAACAATGAAAAGTGCAAAGGAAAAATTAGAAAATGAATTATGAAATACAGCACTAATTTTACCAAATTAATCCCTTAGCAGTACATGAAGCAGTCCATCAAAATCTTAAATGACAGCAGTGTATTAATAAAGTTAATACAAACAATAAAACACTTCCTCTCCCTGAATGCTTTTGTGAGATCTGTATTCACCTTTTCCCTTCGACGGCTCCAATAGTATTTTGAGCAGTGACTTAGGGCCAATATTGCTTTTGTTGTAGCTGACCATTATATGCAGGCTTGCATATACAACCTTGCATATAGCTTGTGCATAACATGAGCAAAAACAATCAAGAGGATTTTAACAACTTAATAATTTTCATAATAATCACATGCGTCAAAAAAGCAAATTAAAAGATCATTCCAATTCTATGGCAGGAAGCTCTTAGTATAAGTCATTCGTTTTCTTAATGTACATTTCTGCTATATTTACATATATTCAAAAGAGGAAGAAAAAACTAAATGGTAGACTAACACTCGCATTTATTCATCCAACGTAGTTTTAGAAAGCTGATTGGGAAGTCCGTTCTGTTGCTGCACTTTTTTCCAATAACTAAAAGTAACAAACTGGGAGTATTGCACCAGTTAGGTGATATGCTAAAATTCTCAAGCTCTAACTTTGAATCTAATTTAAAAGTTGCAGAATTTCAAATGACAGAACATCGAATGCAACTCTGAATCTGCAATCAGTTAATCACAAACGTGGCATTACCGTTCAGGTTTTGGATAACCTAAGGGAGGAACTCCAAAGGAGGAGACTAAAATTAGATTTTCGAATCCGTTTAATATCATATATATATGTGGCCTGATTTTTTGTTGTTTTTGCAAGCCTTGTTCATAAATGCTAGCATGTGCCTGTATTTCAAAGTATTTTAAAATCTAGATTACTGCACTTAGTGCCTGTGGCCTTTTCTAAAATTTTAACGTAGTGCAGGTGAAACCTTTTCCACTGCTTATGATAATGCCCAGATTTCTAGAAAACGCAAACATCAAGTAGAACACCAAGTCAACAATTCTTTAATTTATTATGAAGGCAAAATCGACTGTTATGGAAAACCAGAATAAATAACATCACTGATCTGAAAACCAGAGGTGCTGCTTAAATGAAATATTAAATGTCAGCTTGCAAAAACTACAGTATGTTTATGCATAGATAACCTATCCATTAAAATGTTAGACATGCAATATGCAACCCTGTCTTTTCATTAATCAGGCAGTCCTGAGCGTTAGATCACGCTCCGACACCAGCTCCACAAGCCCCAGCTGACCATTTACTGTTTGCAGCGGGGGTTTGACCTTGGTCTACGGAACCGGGGAAGGCTGTTAAGTGCAGTACCCCGCACGCTACGTACCTCAGGGTACACGCACGTATGTCATCGTCACAGGACAACGGCTAATACATTTTTTTTTATTGTTTTTAACATGTTAATCATCAGCAATACGGCTTTAAAAATACTGATGGTCAACTTTAACCAGCACAGACTGGACCCCCCGCTGGCGTGCGCACACGCTGAGGGTGGCAGAGACGGTGTCACAGGCAGCGCCGTTATCATTCAAAAGCATCTTGGCACCATCCCTCATTTATTACAGTAACGACCAGGGTTTGGAGGCTTCTTATCAGAACTGGTGCCACAGCAGAGATAATTCTGCTCTAATACCATGATGGAAGTGGAAGAATTTACAGAGATGTTTCCACGTCTCACCCAAGTTTCCCAATGACCAAAACAAACGCCAAGCTGCAGAAAGAAAACAAAGCAAGGACCAAACAGGGAGGAAGCCAAGCGACTGCCCCCCTTCCCGCAATGCCGTACGGTCCCCTTTCTCCAAACACCATCCTGGTAAGCTCATTCTGCAAAAAAAAGGCACCAGCGCTGCATTGCGCTTCGCTACCGTTGTCAGCGTCCCGCAGAACAATTATTTTTGAACTTTTAGTTGCAGCAAGCCAGCCGGCTCAGATGCATTTACTGCTCATTGTGGCTGCGGAGACGGCTGAAAATGTATACGGTGCCACGGCAGAGAGAAGCAAATGACTTTAATAGGTTACTTTAAATACATAACTTTAAGTAATGATTTATCAGACGATATTCTGTCTTCTTATTTATGATTATTGTTGAAGGCCTCAAAGCCCGCATGGCTTCTGAAGCCTGAAATTTCCATAGCAGAGGAATCCGTGATTTGCTGTGAATCTTTTCAGCCCTCAATAGATGGGAAAAGATTGAAATGCTCGGGATATGAGTCCTCTTTATTTTTTTAATGAAAGGCTGTATAATATATTTTCTGTATGGCTGCAGCAGCTGTCAGGGAGAGCATCTCAGTTCAGCTCTATTATGGGAGAAGCAATACCCCATCCTATGGCATCGAGATACACTGAGGGGCCAGTACTGATTGACAGCTTGTCACCATGACGTCTTATTCCATCTCTGTTATGGAGAAAATTAATGTCACACCACCAGCCTTATGACTCGCTGTCATCTTAGAACTGCTCACCTTTTATCAATGCTCTAAATAACATTTCAAGCCCATCGTCTCACGGTGGACAATCTGGTCAAGGGACATTAAATCGGATGACTGTGAAATGTCATAATAAAAATGGAATGCTAACAACTTCTTCTCTAAACTAGCTCCTCTGGTTTTTAAAATGTGACAAGGGGGACCGCGGGTTCAGCACACCCGCTCTGAAAAGGTCATACAATCTCTCTTGGTCTGTACCCATTAATGCGCCCCCCTCCTCACCCCAAAAGGAATTAATCTTTTCAGACAATTGTGGTAAAATAATGGTTCAAACAGTAATGCCTGTTTAATTTGTAAGGCTCTGATGTTCAGCTACAAATGGTTAAATGACAGTAATAGAGTCATTTTCAAAGGCTATTTGATCTGATGGCAAGGTCAGCTCATTAACTGTTTTTGGCTGCAGAAAGGGTGCAAAATACATTTCTCAAATGGAAGTTGGATTTTTTAAGAGGGCGAAAAATAAACCCCAAAACACAGCCACTCAATGGGGCACAGCACATCTTGCTAATTGCATACTCCTTCTTGCCATCATTTCTGAAGTAGAGATGTGAATGCCAAAGGCGAATCAAACATCAGTGAAAATAAACTATTTGAATTTCGATAAACCTTGTCATTTCATTCTTCTGCTTCCCATTGGTCATTTGAATAAAAATAGTAAAATTTGCCAAAAAGGTATACCGACGCTACAGTTTTCAAAACCACATAATGAGGAATTCATGCCTCTGCAATACGAACACCTTCCAGAAACGTAAATGTTTTCAAATGCATACAGTGATGTAAATGTAAGGGAAGACACATACCCATGAATACGTAAGAAACAGACATAAATAGATCAATTTTATACCACATAATTATGCTTTACACTGGGGACAAAAACCTGAGAATTTAAGAAAAGCGATTAATAGTCGTAACAAGTTTCTGTACTGCTACTAAATTATCAAAACCATCGGCATGGCTTGTCTGCCGTATCATCACCCGCAATGATCCGCAGAAATACAGTATTGTTGCACTTGATAGCGAGGAGTGTGTCGCCTCAAAAATGTACCCATCAGGAATTTATTACGTTTATAAAGATCTATTCTAATAACCACAGACCGCCTTGGTGGATTCCAAAATGTGCAGTAACTCTCTTAATTGTAATTATTTTTCAGAGATGGTGCACAATACCTTAGCTCTCAGTTGGTTTAGGAATATTATGTTTAGCCTCACTAAGTCACCTCTATTAAACTGTGTTTATGATAACACTATTGGTGTATGAGTTGTACAAGCATTAGCAGACAGCTGATTCAGGGGAGATAGCCAGAATAAATTTGCTGAAGCGCACATCCTGCTAATCTGTTTGAAGAATATTGTACAGCATTAGTACTAGCACTTCATGTTATCTGCACAGCCTGATAAGGTACATCTTTATTAAATTCAGTTATTGAAAGGATGTCAGTCATGGAATAGGAATATTTTAAAATCTAAAAAAAAAAATTAAGCGGCTCTTTGTTAGTCAGAGCTTGGTTTAATGGCTGAGTGTCTAGAGAAGCCTTTCTAAACACCTGGCAGCATTGTACAATAAAAGCTTTGTAATTTTAAGTGGAAATAGCTTTTTTTTTTTTTTTTCCCTCCTTTCTCCATGTGTACTGAGACAGTTACTTTTAGTGATTTAGGTATTAGCAAATGCTGGAGTAAGAGCTCCCCTCTCTGTTGCTTTGATAAAACTACACAGATTCCATGTAATGTGAGGATGCTGGGAAATGAAAATAATTTGCCTCAGAATATTTTGAAATGGAAATATTGTTTAAAGCAATTATTTTGATGATACAAAATACTGCTCCAGCCTCTAATGTGCAGACAAAAAAATAAATTTTCTTGCCCTTTAGAAGGTGCTCAAAAAAAAAAAAAAAGCCTCAAACCCTTTGGCATAAACACTCACCAGGAAGTGTACGGTCACGGAGTGACTCCTTAGTTATATTGTGCTTAGTACAAATTATGTGCAAGGCAGTAAAATTAACTTCTTCATGCCACATGATCATATCAAGTAGCTGAATTAACTATGTATAAAATACCTTATAAAGAGTATAAAGAGTATAGCTCCGTATAAAGAGGGTTTGTAGCCTTCTCGTTACCTGCACCAGCCGTGGCAATATTAGTAACTCCCTTAAATGGTTGTCATTGGCTGAGTGGGATAAGGATATAAGGGATATGTTGAGATTTTTCCCCCCTTGATACTTATCATTCATATAAGCAAACGTTTTGCAAACAGAGGGCAAAAGAAAAGAACTCCATACATATCTCTTCAGTATCTCCTCTCGCTCCTTCTGGTCCTCCAGGGAGTTGACGGAGAGGTCAGAGATCGTGACGGCAGCCGAGGCTGTGAGCGTGACCAGCAACACCAGGCAGCCCTCTCCCTCCTCCAGCGGCATCTCCAACTTGTGGGTTTGCTCTTTGCTCAGGGTTGACAGGTCAACCTGGCACCTAGAAACAAATGTTCTCCATCAGCACGTGGTTCTCTTCACATCCAACAAGAGCACATTGGCTTTACCTGCATTCAGCTGGAGAAAAAACCCAAATTGGTAGAAATTCCTTCCCAGCTTCTGCAAGGATTTCTCTTCAGCTTCAACCCATGCTGCCCACTTGACCTTTTTTTGTTGGTTTTTTTTGTTTTTTAAAGCTACAACCTCTTATGCATGTGAACAACAAACATTAAAAAGAACGTACAGAGACTAGGAACAAGGTTGGCTAACGGGCCTGACTCGAACGCAGCCGAAGAGAATCTTCAAAACCCAGTTCCAGTTGCAAATTGCACTTTTTACTTACACCCCAGTTTTGATGTGGACCTTTAAAAAAAACCCCTCAAATGTTGTGGACTTGATTGTGATGGAGTTAACACAGAAAGCCACGTCTCGAGCAGCACCCAAAAGGCTCAGCTCTCTCTCTTGCAGTAAGCTGCGCGTGGGTCAGGATTAAAGCTTCATGCAGGCACCCAGGATAAAATTTGATGCCACAACCCCCTATATAATAAGATGTCTCACTCTGTAACGAGCGGGGACTGCTCACAACCGCGCGGAGTGGCTGAAGCCAATCCACCCTGCCTGATCCCCTTCGGAATAACCCCGGCTGTTCCATACGCTGCGCTAATGAAGAATGGCTCCAAACGTGCCAGCCAGCAGAAACGGCTCTGCAACAACTTTAAAAATAAAAGCTGGAGCATGGAAGGAAAAAAAGGTATCGCTGCGAACAAAGAGCTGACCATAAGCTTTTCATTAAAGCAGGAACATCTCGGGGTCAGTAATTAATCTGTGCGCAGCTTGGAAGTTTTAATGTTTTAATTTGTGTAATTCGTGAGGTTCAACTTCCCTCGATTGCAACTCTGAGCAAGTCTAGAAACTCAACACCTGTGTCAAAGAAGTGCCACGTTGGCTGGCACTGTACAGGAATTTCTGTGAAAAAAGCACTATTTGGAATGCTTCTACTTATAGCATCCCCAGGTAATTCTTTGCCAATTTGTTACCCGAAACAAAACCAATAACAATACTGAAATAAAGTAAATGAATATTTTCTCTATATATCGTTAGGCCACTGAATACTTTTAACAGCGATTATTTAATGTGACAAGCACATGTTCTATATGCCACTCTCACTAAACAAAACATCTAGCAAACTCTTTTCATAAAATGTCAATTGATTTTGAAGAGAAAGATAATGTGGTGACCGCAGGGCCAATAAGCTGAGAAAAAGGTGGCAGACATGAATAAATAGGCATTTAAGGACAGGAAATAGCCAATTATGAGAATAAATGTGGCCTCATAAAACGGGCGCTGTGCTATCACAGGCAGATTAGATTTGCTACAAGAAAATTTCCTTTTAATTTTTTTCTTTAAACATTTACTGTCTGTTGTGCAGCTGTCAAAATTAAACTACTGCAAAGCTCCTACAGTAACAAGGTTCAATTATTTTACAATGAAAAAAAATTTCTAACTGACAGCATTCTGAGCTTAATGTTTACCTTTTATTTTGAACTCTTTAGGTGGTAAGGAGTGAGAAATGAAATTAACAACAGTAAGGACAGACTAAAGCTGTTGCTGTCGGTGCAGGGATGGTCAATGCAAGCTTCGTACAGGTACATTGGCTGTCAAACTTTTATTTAGGCTGCAGTGAGGAGCATAAAGCCCTTCTGAGGATGGCAAACATTGTAATCAGGCACTCAAAGCTGGGGTAGGTTCAGATGCCTCAGGTATTAAATATTCTTTGAAAGCTTATTTCAAGACAGATACCCCTCAAAAATAGGTCTCTGCAACAACACTGCGACTTCAACCAATAATCATTGAAAGCACCAGTCTAAACTCTCTTAAAGTCAGTAAAAGAATGAGAAAGTCATTAAGATACAAGTAATGCAGAAATAATCCACCCCTCACTCAAAAACGGGCAACAAAATCTACCCCTGCTGGAGCAAAAAAATCCCTACATGCATCAGAAAACAGCAATGACGGTAGAATTACAGGGTTTGCAGCCGAACTACGAGCTCCAAGTTCTCAAATTCTTGTGGTTAACAGCACTTTTGCAACATTAGCAGTCCATGCTATTTTTTATTTAGGCTGAAAGAAGCAACTGACAATTGGATTTTACCCGTGCACCTTTCCCGCTGCTATAAAATATGCCTAATAGCACCACATCTCCAAGAGATTACCTGACAAATACGTCTCTATTGTCTGCTCAATAGATCTCCATAAAGAGCCCATCACCAGCTTCTTATCGCCTAAAATCACACGAAGGGTAGGGAGCCATCGGGAAGCTTTTTCCAGTGAAAGCCTTACCCATTTTATAGGAAAAACACCCTCTGAAGGGCCCTCAAATAATCCGATAAAAAACTAGGGTTATTCCATTAAGGAGCATGTATGGAAATTCCATGGCGCTGTATGGAAATCCAGGTTAAGATTAGGAGGAAATCCAGGCACGCGCCCCCGTGCGCACGCGGCCGGGCGAGAGCACTGTTCTCATTCTGCATGAGGCGGGCGCGTCGGCCGCACGTGCGCTTCACTGGGAAGACAAGTCTCACCAATGTACAGACACTGTAAGAGAAATTGCAATTTCTTTTCCATTGAGGTCCTCCCCCC